ATATATCTAGAAGGAGTAGAGGCAAATTACATTCCTTTAGTTGCTTATTTCTTTACACAACCAACGGTGGATTGTGCCAACTTCCTCTTCAACAACAGCTTGAGAAGGTTGGCCAACTTTGGCTATGCCTATTTCGTTCCTTATCTCTCAAGTCTAAATAAATGCATTTTGAAAGTTGTTGATGAAAGCATTCAAAGACGATGAACACCATTCCCCTCACTTGTCATATATCAGTTTATCACCAAGTTATATGCAGAGCCGGTCCTGAGAAAAATAGAGCCACAAACCAAAAATAAAATTGGACCGATTAACTAGTAGATGTTAATTAAAAAAAAAGGTAAAACGAGTGATGATGCTCAATAAACTCGAACTCTTTACTTTCAAAGCACATGTGAGCCTTTAACCACTTGATTCAAAACCGATTTATTATATTTTGTTTCGAATGCCGCAAGCCCATGTTTGGGCTACTTGGACCCAAAACCACCCCTGTTTATATGTAATATAGCTATAGATATATAAGTAAAAGTAAAAGTAATATTTCTCTAAACCAGGTGCAGCACGAAGAAGATCTCGTTTATGGTTGAAGATTTTCTCTAACATTATTTAACTCACAACGTATTATTCCCTAGTATCTCGTTCTTCTAGAATAGGTATAGCTGTTAAACGCTTTCTGGTCTGGCCGTAAACTAGGTAGTATATCTCTAGGGTTCGATCTTATCTATGTCCAATTCATGACTTTGGTCCAATGATATCCTAAATGTTGAGTGATGAATGTGACTAAGGAAGAACACAAAGGTGTTATTATGGAAGAATTGATATTGATTCTCATGAAAATAAAGTTACAAAATTTAAATTACATTCACTTACATGAAGAGAATTAAACCTAAGTTTCCTAAATTAAGATAGTTAACATCAATATATAAATAACATCTTTACAAATAAAACTGAAATTCCTAAATGAAAATATAGACAAATCACAAATATTTTAGATCTTTCTTAGTTCTTGAATATCATATATTCATTATTTTCATAATTTTGGTTTCTCAATTGTTCGATCAATCTCTAATCTCGATCTCACTTGATCTCCTGACATTAAGCTTGCCAAAAACTATTTACTTTACTAAAGCACCAAAGACTCTTTGCCCAAAATTAGTCAATATAGTTTTAGTTAATCTTTGGAGAGTTCTGACAGAACAAAAGAGAGGAACTATATACCACCAAAAAAGGCTCAACTGCTCAAGTACTTGTTAGGCTTGGGTATATGGTGGGCTTGCCTCATTGAGTTTTGCCCGAACCCTTAAGGGTTAGACCATCTCCAACCCATTCTTCCATTTTTCACGTTTTGCTTTCAAAAACTAAATCCTAAAAACGCTAAATGTATCATAATTGATTTATAAAGGATTTCTAAAAGTTTAGGAATAGTTCATAATTCATTCAAGAATAACTAATAATTCTTAATTCTTTCCACACTAGCTACTCCAAAACAAAACACAAAACAACGCCTTAATTAATCTCAACCAAGTTTTAGTAAATTCATTTTATTGGCATGATTTCATGGAGTGATCATTAGGAAGAGCCCAAGCATCGTTACTAATCTTGTTATATTGACTCTTCACATTTTTTATTGTTTCTAAAATGTATCTGAAACTGTCATAAGCACTTCTAACATAGATGAAATCAGAATTTTTAGTTTAATGTGGATGTTATTACAATTATAGTGAAGGATAAGGAGGTAACAAGAAAGACATGACAATGCCATTGAATTCTTTGGACTTTTCCAATTGGGGAATATGTGAAGTCTTTGGTATAACTTTTAGCGTCGCCTTCTTCCCCAACATCCTGCAGGTAAATATACATACATAAACTTTTTATTAAAAAAAAAACCATATAAATACTCTTAGGCTATCAAACAAACACACAAACGCGAATATGAATAAATCATTTTTATATTTGTTCCAAATGAGTTCTCAAGGCACCTCTTGGTTATCCAGTAAATTTTGATTAGATCAGAAGAACTAATTATAAATTAATTTAATTAAGATTCGATTTCAGTAACTATTTCTTCTTCTTTTTGTTTGGTTCAACACTTCAACTAGTAACTATTTCTATAATCGCAAAAATTTATATTGTTTCGACCATGGAAAAACCGAACTGGACATTATCATATAGTTGTAGATAAAATCGGTTGGGTTGCCATTAGAACGGACGCGTAGTTGCAACTTCAATATCATAAAACCATTTGGAGATTCAAAAGATATGCGAAATTGGAAATCAAAAGAAGTGAGGCAATGAACATTCAAAGCCCTATGCTATTTATATATACTATGAAAAGATATATAACTGATGAGAGAAATAAAGGGTCTTACTCTTTGAGGTGATAGGCCATTTTCAAAGGAAAAACCTGATCTAGCTCCCCCCATATCAGCATCACATCCTGCATGGTTCATGCTCATATAACTTTAAATCAATTAATTGGATTAAAATAAATAAGCTTAAAAATGGCACTTATTTTATTGTAGCTTCTTATCATGCATGTAATTACATAAACTATATTTTTAAAAAATAAGTAAAAGAACTACAAAATTCAAAAAAAAAAAGCTACCATATTGTTAACACTCTAGCTAGGTTTACTTAGACCTTGATTATCACATTACAATTTGAAATATAAAACATTGCAGTTTTTTTCTCTACATACTTTGCAAAGTGAAAACATAAACGCCAAGTACAAACATCAACCTTCTGTTTGCTTATGGTGTTTGGCACTGTGAATTAACAAAGAAATGTTATTTACAAGAGTACAATGATAAAGGTTGTGGCTCATTCAGAATGAATAAAAATTAAATGTAAAATCAAACACCAATGAACAATATTCTAGATTTACATTGACTGAGAACATCGTTACATATGCTAATAAGGTGTCATAAGAAGATAATTTACTGATAATTCGTATTATGCGAATCCTACATATAATAAAAAAGCTACAATATATCTGACATATATTAATGTTGGTGATAGTGTAAAACAAAAAAAAATAAGTAGTGATGGTGATGAGCGAACCTGTTCAATTGGAGTTACGTTTAAATTGTTGTCCCTCCCAATAGTTAGCCCCTCCAAAAGTCTTGCTTTTTCTTCTCTCTTCTCCGAATACATTTTCTGTGTATTTCCCCCTTTTTTTTTTTAATATTCTCTCAATCAATCATGCAAGCCAAACTCTTCTTTCAATAACGACACAATCGTATTTATTTTAAAATTAAAAAAGTTTGAATTATTTGTCTCTCTTTGGGAGCTACCAAGTCTACCGTTCTTTCTTTACCCAATTTCATACATGCATTACTATAACAAAATGAAGGCGACAATCTTCTTTGTCTTCTTTTATCTATCACTCTTTTTAAAGATAAACTAGTGGAGATCATCTTTATGCTCCATTAATTTCTTTTGTTTTCGTGTAAGTTTATAATATTTTTAAATAAGTGTGGTCTTTTAATATATAGTGGAGTATATGTTTTCCACGCAAAAATATAACAAGAAATTCGAATTTAATCTTTAAAGTTAGAAAATTGTAGTTTTACTTTATTTTTATTTTTTTCAGAACCATAAAACCATATATACAAGAAAAAACAATTAGAGTAATTGATTAAATACGAATTTTAACTATAATCGTTTTGTTGTTAAAGAATTTTAACTATAATCTAAGAAATTAATACATGAAAATACCTGGCAAAAGTCGTTCAAGACAAAATCGGGAACATAATCGAGTCTCTTAGTAGAAACCATCCCGGAGAATCTCCGGATATCCGTCGCCGATGAAGGAAGCATCACCTCCGCCACACCGTGACATTTGGCTCTCGCTATAAACGCCTCGTTATCACTCCGTCGCATATTAACGCCTGAGCTCGCAAGAATCACTTTCTCCAATTTTTCCGGCAACATTTTGGCCATATTATACGCCACAAACCCACCGTAACTCGTCCCGACAACACTAAATCTCTCGACACCGAGCTTCTCCATCAGCTTTCTCATGCACGAGGCCTGAAATATCTCCGACCGGTTCTCGTCGGAGGAAGATGAGGTTGTGGTGGAGCCACCGAAGAAGACGAGGTCGGGGATATAGAGACGGAAGACTTTAGAGAGTGGCTTTACTTGATGGCTCCATTGCCATAGAGCAGAAGGGCCAAAGCCGTGGAGGAGGAGGAGAGACGGTTTCTTTTGGTTTTCCGGCGACGGTGACGGTGGTGGGGCCCAGAACTGTATGGTGGTTTCGGAGTCGATGGATAAGATTTGTAAGGAGAGACCAGTGGAGGAGAATCTCCGGCGAAGTATTGCCTCGATGAAGTTTGCAATGCTTAGAAACGACGGAGCCA